CATTAAGCAATGCAAAACGTCACGCTTACATTGCATAATGTCACAACTCAGACTGCATTTTTCGGTCTAAACATAATTTCGGCATCGTCATGCCCTGAGCTGCCTCCGTAAGTTGCGGCGATTGGCTCTTCGAGTGTTGTGCGGGAAAGTCGACGAACAAGTTTTTTTTAGAGTGCGAAAAGCATCCCCCGTGTGGATACCCCTTAAAAGGAGCATAGGAGACAAGACGTTCTCTCCTTTATGGAGAAATATATAGACCTTTTTTTTCTTTTATTTTTCTTTAAGAGTGCACCACTGTGCGTTTTACATTCAGGCGTGTTGGCAGCCCGCTGTTCTCCGTCTTATAATAAGAAGAAAAAATCGCGCCAATATTGTTTCGACAGAGAAAGTAACGAGGCAACCACTGAAAGCGCTGCAGAGCCCAGGGATCCTGGGTTCGAGCCCCACCCCTGCCCGTTTCGATCTGGATGAGCATTGTATCGGCGTGCGGTCGTGTTTCACTACTGCGTGGTGCACGTTAAAGACCCCAGGCTAGCGGTTGTACTGCACTGGCTAAATTGCTCATCTACAGCGTGTGACTCGTCGCAACATTAATGGCAGACCAACTACACGCTGTATAAATATCCCCACAACCCCAATTATTATTATTATTACAACCACTGAAACACGTTTTCACGCGAGGAGCACGTACATCTGGTTACTGACAGTTTGAGAATTGCAGGGCGTGGCGAAGGCGGAGCACCTTCTTATCGCTCAGCGGCCAATGAGACTTCACTATTATCCAGCAAGAACGCCGAAGAATGAACCACGAAGCTAGAAGCGTGAATACACTATATGAGCTACTTACGCCCTTCTATGGATATCACCGCGGTTTACAAAACACATAAACACTAAATTCAGCGTTTTATTAGAAAACGGCAAGCCGCGCGCCAGCCGGAACGAAAAAGGCAAACCGCCTGTGCGAACAATGCTAAAAACAATTTTGAAAAAAAAAAAAAAAAACGCGTGTGAGACGTCACGTGCGTTTCTCGATTGTGAATCCTTTCTAACCAAGCAAATAGAGACTGACGTCTTTAATTTCTTGGGTCAACAAGGCGATCTTCCTTTGGATCGATTTCGCATCTGACACGTCGCGTGCTCAGCGTATATTATCGTGTTTAAATGTTTTTGGTTTTGGTTGAGTTGTTGTTGATTGGCAGTTTCCAAGTCTAGTTATTCTTTAAGGCGCAGCTTGGAATTTCACGCGTCCTCTGAGAAACTGGCCAAGCCAACATGCATTACAGTATACGATTTTTCAACGAAGCAACCAAAAGCATGTTCGGATGTTACTCCTCGTTAAAGGGATACTGAACCAGAGAATTTAGTGCCGATAATAAGTGGCGCACGTTCTTTCCACCAGCCAGCAGCCGCCGGTGTGCGCGAGCACACTCAACAAAAATGACGTCAAAGACCTCTATTCGCGGTTGAGATGACAGTGAAATGCATAGGCTTCGGACTAAAGGAGAATAAAGATAGGCTTTTCATCTCTACAAGTGAAAGCTACGTGCTTGTTAGACCAATTCATCGCTTACTTTTTACACCAGGCACCACTGTGTAGATGAAAAACTTGTCTTTATTCTCCTTTGGTCCGAAGCCCATGCATTTCACTGTCATCTCAACCACGAATGGAGGTCTGTGACGTCATTTTTGTTGCGTGTGCTCGCGCACACCGGCGGCTGCTGGCTCGTGGAAAGAACGTGCGCCACTTATTATGGACACTGAATTCCTTGGTTCAGTATCCCTTTAAACAGAAAATAATAAGGTCCATATCAAAGTAAGCTTCATCCGCTCTGGGTTTGTACAACTGCGTCCAGAGGCTCGATCTTTTGAATTTTAGCTTAAAATTCAAAATCGTCTCTCGGATTTCTGCTCATTACTGACCAATTGTCCATCTTCGATACCGGAAAAAAGGGGATCACAAAAACAATTTCTTCGTCCTTATTAAAATGCTGCACATGTTACTATAGTATTTGCAGGTTAAGAAGGTAGGGCGAGGAAAAAGAAGGTGGGAGAGGAGGAAGCGGACACAACACTGGAGAGGGGAGGGGGTTTGCCTCTCCCCTCACCAGCGTTACGTCCATTCCCTCCTCTCCCACCTTTTTTTTTCCTCGCCCCACCTTCTTGAGTTGTCAACGACTATAAGAAAGCAAGTTTTTGGTTTCTTCCGACTGACAGATATTTTTACAGAAGCTCAAATTCTCATTCCTGACATAGGAATGGTATATCATAGCTGTACAGAACGCGCTAACCTCTGCCTCTGTAATTTCTCTGAACTAAAATGTAAAAAAAAAAAACATTAATAGGATGAGCTTTGTTTATAGCCAGTTCCTTGATTTCCTCCTAGAGGTGCTTAGGTTTTTTAACATTTTTCAAAAGTTAAGACGAGCAGCCATTACAGTGCACGCCCTCGCTCCTTATCGCCCTCGGTATACGATGGAAGTTTAAACAGGGCCTGCAACTGGACAAACACTTCAAGTGGCCGCATTTGTGGTTCATCGTATAGGTTAATACCGTACTTGCTCGAGTAATAGCCTCACTTCTCATAAACATGGCCCTTGTGTCAACTTTTCTAGAATACACACACAGAGCCAATCATCGCGCTCGGTATAAAAACGCAGCAAATAAAGTGGTCGAGAACAAGATTCACGGTAAAACTGTAATCTGAGTGGAAGCATTTTCGCGTGAAGACTTTATCTCTGTCCCATAAGTCACTTCCAGTTTTCTGGCGATCGCGCTGATTTGCTATCCTCGTGCTCTGCGGGAAAGCAAGCACACATGCATTGTTCATAAACAGCTCGGCTATTACTCGAGCAAATACGGTACTGTTGTTTGAAAATAAAAGAAAGGGGGGAGGGGGGAGGGAGAATTTTTAGGCAAACAAAACCAGATGACGAATATTTAAAAAGCACTACATGTAAGGCATGACTTGTTCTTTGTAGTTCAGTTCATAACCCTCCGTCTTTTGCTAAGGACATTCAGTTGCACGGCAGAAACTAAAGCCACAAACGAAAATGAGCCATTCTCGTAACCTTATTTGTAAATCCCAGCATTCATGAAAATTATGGGAGCTCCGTCTCTAACTCGGGCTTGTCGCTCGTATGACCGTTAACTTTGGCCAGTGAGCGAAAGCCAAAACAAAGTAACTACAGCAAACATACGAGGTAACATGACTCGTGCGCTTCTCACATTTTATCCCTAAGCGCTCACTTCGGTTTGTTCGTGCTTATTTTTTTTTTTTTTATAAATTTCTGCCAATAAACAAAAATTTACGAGCCATACATGTGCTTAAAATGAATCCACACTTTTTGGGACCGGCCCATTTAAAATCAATGTGTTGTTTTTTTTTTTTTTTTTTTTTTTTTTTTTAGCTGGCACGTGTATACAGCTTATTAAAATGAAGCCATTCCGCATATCTGCTCCACAAGAAATGTCGATATCGTCACAGCGCGCAAGCATTCGTTCCGAGGTTATTGAACCAGGCACAGTTTTGACTCACTGGAAACCATACCTGAGCGATACGTAAATAAACTCCATAAGCCACTCGGATCAGCTCCGAAGCCCACCTGAACAAAATGGGTAAATGTACCGGAAACGCTGAGACATACGTGACGCCTCAGAGGCTTCCACTTTGTTCTTGACTTGTCAGCGAGACTATAGTCCCAGTTTATACTTTGAACATCGGCTGAGGCTAGCCAATGTTCAGCACAGTGTCCATGAGGACTACTTTGAGCCCGTCTTTGTCATGACGAGACTTGTGTGAACTGTACTAACTGAACCATCGTGCGTGCAGGAAGGCGAGTCAAGCAATACGGGCACGTTCAAAAACAAAATCTGATTTTCCTTCACGGTCATTAAAAATAGATAACTATTAAAAGTCCTCGACTAGAGGGAGTTCGTTAAGTACCCTGTGCTTTCGGAAAATGGACACGTGAGACGCCATGCTATGCGACACAGCGCAGAGTTAATCTTCGGGCCTCGCCATGGACTCTTCACCCGCATCCTCTGCAAAAAAAAGCTTATCGCGCGAGAGAATTTCTTCCCGAGCGTAGCAAATCTACATTGGAACATGTGACAGAGGCTGAATTACCATCAGTTTGGTACTGAGAGACACCGCGAGTTATATTGTTCTGTTGTTGTTGTTGTTGTTTTCATTTATCTACTTGATTTTTTTTTTTATTTCGCCTGTTTCTAGGTTGTTTTTCTGCAAAATATGTGTATTTTCTAAGCTATTGTATGATGTGCAACCTAAGTTGTTGTTGTTGTTTGTTTTGTTTTTTGTCTACAGAAAATGGTGGTGTTTGTGAGATGAGCGGCACTAAAAATAGACAAGATGAAGGAAATATGGCTAAAATAAACAAAAATAACAGCTTGCATCCGATTGACAAGAAAGAAGTATGTGAACTTTCAACTATGTAAAACCCACTTTTATTTTTAGACACCTTCGCCCTTCCCCCTTTACCCTTACCTTTCCCGTAAGAAACGAACCAACGCACAGTACAACGATCGCAATTTTCACTTCCAATATAATGAGGCCAAAACAATCAAGTACAAACTTGATTTTGAAACGGGACAGTCCCCGTCAACAAGCATGTTCTGTCCACGCGACAGACAGGTCTCCAAACGAAAGACGCGGCGCAGAAACAAGGCACGCCAAATCTCTCGCTTCAAAGCGCTCGTCCACAGAGACATTTTGCACCGTTGAACCCAATTTTGGCCACGGATTGTAGTTGGGAGGCAAACAAGCCCAACGTTCAATACCGATTCGAGCCATCCAGCGCGCAGGATGCGCCGGCTAAGACTGTCGGTAATTTTGACTCCTAGCGAATTTGGTAGTTCCTGGCCAGAGGGAGCTTGCTCAGTCCTGGGCAGGCTGTGCAAGCTCGCCGAGGCCTGGGCGGCACCGAAGAGCGCGCACCGAGGACTTGGCGTCGGTCCTGGCGAAGGGGAAGCATCAGTCTCACCGTTTTCTTTCGCCTGGCGTGTTTGCGAGGCGGCCCAGCGGTCCGGCGAAGAGCCGCCGGAGCAGTCACTGCTCTGCTGTTCATCGGCAACGCGCAGGGTGCCGTGGTCGAAGACCAGCGGCGACGCCTGGACGATGGAGTGCAACGAGCCCACGTCCTGCTGCTGCTGCTGGCCCGTGAGGTACAACGAGGGTCCGTCGAAAGCGTAGCTCTCGTAGCGGCTGGAATTCATGGTTTCTCGGCCGCCGTCCGCGACGTATCGCCTTACTGCGAGCCCTTTGGAGTTTACTCCGGATGACTCATGGGCAGGCTCTGAGGACGGGAGAAATGCACGCGCAAAGACAAGAAGACTATCGCACTCATGCTTCCCACCAGCGGCCCAAACTTTGCCTGCACTCGCGACCACAGAGGCCCCGTCCCATACGCGAATGGGAGGGGCCCGCCGAAGGCGGGGTTTCGGCGCTGGTCACGGGGAGCATGTGATGACGTCTGGCACGCCCAGCAGCTGACTCAGGAATTCTCGCTGCCCTCTCCATCCATCGACTCCCGGTTCACCCCTTTCGCTGTCTCACGCACGCTGCCTGCCTGCCGCCTATTCTTTACTCCGCCGGGTACGCAGCCGTTACGCTGGCGCTCAAAAATACACTCCTTCCTGGACGACGCCCGTTCAGCTCTTCCCGAACGTTACGCTCCCTTCTGCGCGGACGTCCCAGGACCGCTCCTAAAGAAGATGCACTCGGTTGATAAAGAAAACGATATAGACGCGGCATTTTTTTTTTTTTTCGAAAAGAGAGATTGAGTAAACTATGCTGTCCCGATTGTAGAAAAGCCCGTTTTGAACCGCGTGCAGTAAACAAAAGAACAAAACAAAATGTCCCGCTTAATATTTTATTTTGTTTTGTTTTCCGCGGAACGCCCTGACCACCAATCACTCCGAGTTGCTTAAGCAGTTCAATCAATAACGAGGACTCAAATTATCTATTTTCTAGAAGAAAAAAAAACACGTGTCAGCCTATGTCAGCCGTCATACTCAGCATGGGAGACATCGTGGCCAGGGCCGGCTTGCTAGAAACAGCATCTCAACTGAAACTGGGTGAAAGGAAGAACAGTCAAAGCCAGCTCACGAGCTGAACGGGACTCAAACCGCGTTCAAGAGGTTCGTGCGCCCCAGCCTTTGCAGTGCTTTGTTTCACCCAGTCTCGGCTAAGACGCTGTTCTAGCAAGCCGGTCCAGATCTCTTCACATTCAATGAGAGCGTGCTCAATCCTGTTCCCGACGGCCGACGCTGCACTTTAATTGATCCGATGGGTTATTGGTGGTTCAAGATGGCGGCTCACTGGCTGAGGCCAAGCATCGAGACCACATTGGACATGTTTCATGGGGAGGAGGGGGCGATAATTTGTTCAACTTTTGATAACAGCCTTGGGTCGACCCCAGAACTGATAAAAAAACGAATGCATAAAGAAAGAAAAAGCAGGGGAAGTTAAGGCAAGTTGTGTGTTTTTCTTTTTCTACCCTAGGCGGCCTGATGTCTTACAATCATGGGGATGGACAAACGCGATGAACGGTGTCTGCTATGGTCGCCGACAAGCTAAGGAACACAGAACGTGGGGCTTCTTTATTATCAAGACGCTTCTTGCTTCGTGACTTGCCCTTCAACGTGCTTGCCGTGTCTCATTGGCTGCGGAGCTTTAATGAGATTGCCAGTGCGTATTTATTTATTTATTTACTTATTTACTTATTGTGTCTGAAAGAACACGACGCTGCAAAAACCCAACAAGAGTGGAATGCTCCTCTTGAAAGACAAGAGGTCATCATTGAAAATGTCAACAAATGATGTGTCAAAATGATTAAAGAAGTTCTCAGTGCGAACTAACGGGGACAAACGGTACATTGGGTTATTGGAAAATGGGCGATTGCAGCGAAAATGTCTCACGGGAACGTTAGTTTGGATCTGAAATACGATAATTGAGCGGTCATAATATGATTGCAAGCACCTGAGCGAAAATATTCGGTCACCACTTTCTCGTCTCGATTTTGAATCGGTCAAACTCCAAAAATTAAGTACATTCTAATAAGAGTAAGGCTTAGACAAGTTTTTTCTCTAACGTGAAACGTTCTCGTGAATATCTTTTGGACTCGTTCTAATGTCGCCGCCGCAGTGGCACTTGGTGGTTCCAAACAACTGATGCAAAATCTGGTTTTGCCAAAATAAGACTTCTGAACGAGACATAAAAACAAAATGGGTCGTGAAACACTGAACTGAGGCGAGGGACAATATCTGACACTCTAAAATGATAATAACAGGATCATACGAACATGACTACTGAAAGTAATCCTATACTACACAAGGAGTAAAAAACATTCAACGTTCTTCCAATCCATGTCTGGCGTGAGGTGGACGAACATCGAAGCACCCTTAATTGTGTTGTGTGTATGTATATGCAGCCGGAAGTTATTTGGCTCCAATGGGCGGTTGGTGGCTCGGCCGTACAGATGAGAAATTGAGCCAGTGCAGTACTACTATACTAGCCTGAGGTCCCTAACGAGCGCCACGCAATAGTGCTACACGACCGCAAGCCGGTACGATGCTCATCCAGATCGAAAACGGGCAGGGGTGGGGACTGAACCCAGGATAGCTGGGTTCTGCAGGGCGAGCTTTCGCTCCACGCGCCGCTTCGGCCACCGATACCCGCCTTGAGGCAGCCTCGTTTGCTATATTTCTGACAGCTCAAAGGGGCACTCAAGTGGATTCTGAGATTATCTATTTATTGTCATAACTGAATCTACGGGCTCTATGCATCCTAAAAATCCCGAAATCACATTCAAGGGCGGCCTATTTCCCTATTAAAAATCCATTCAAAAATCGGGGTTCGTTTTACTTTTCTCGGTAACGAGTAACGTACTTAGTTCCTTTTAAGGCCAAGTAACGAGTGACGGTATCTCGTTACTTTTGAGGAGTAACGTGTACAGCGCCGTTTAAACAGCCTCGTTTTAATTCCAACTGCATGAGTATGCGTTCATTGCCACCAAGGCAGATCGGCTACACGAAAAATAACTAAACAGTATGGCAGTGTAGCAACGTTTGTCGCTGGATACCTCAGTTGAGAGCTCAACAGCTGATAATGTTCTTCACCCAGCGAACATAATAAGGCTCCGTGGTTGAACCTTCTAGAATCGTGTACAGACCGAATGCAAACCCCGAGGTTGTCAACGCGAGAAGACACAGAACCGATTGTTAACTTGGTGCTTTAGAAGCAGAGAAAACAAAACAGAGGGCGGAATCCCAGATTCACCATGCTCTTCCTGAAGCACACAACTGCCGTTCCTTCGAGCGCGTCAGTGGAACGACTGTTCAGCGTCGCCGGAGATGTATTCTTAATGAAACCGGGTAACATAACGAGTGAAAACTTGCTCTGCTGAAGTGCAACGAATACTGAAAAGAAAACAATAAGCCATGGAACAAAAGCAGTTGTGTATTTGGTCGTCAAAGTAACGGGAAAAGTAACTCGCTACTTTGGAGTTGAAGTAAGGCGTACGTTTTGAGAATCGATGACGAGTAACGTATTTAGTTCCTTTTAAGGCCAGGTAACGAGTGACGGCATTTCGTTACTTTTTGGGGGTAACGTACGTCAGCCGGTAACGCACGCCTTTGATATACCGGAAGTACTGTGCCTCTCCGGGAGTATAGGACGTGGTTTTTCATTCTTCGGTCGAGATATATAGTCATTGACAAGATGAGAACGGCAGGGAAGTCTTTCAGTTGTAAGGGCTCTAACGCAAACTTCCCAACTTCAATGACGCTTCGGTGTTCCGTGAGCATCCAGCATCCACGAGCAGCCACAGCACGGCGGAAGGCAACGAGCGTGTGCTGGAGGCCGAGCGACGCCGTGTCGTTCCAATATCACCTTGAAGACAAGGCCTGCGGCGCCTTGCATCCCCCCCCCCCCCAACCCCCCAAAACGTCATCACTGCATGGATGGATGGATGAGCCTGAACCCTTTGAATCGGGCGGTGGCTTGCGCCACCTGGCCTACTGGATTCGCGCAGCGCCACCTACCCTGAGTCAGCATCGTCGACAGCGCGTCTTTGTAGCGTCTCACGACGAGCGCGACGTTAGCACGCGGTGATGCCGACACGGACGCGTCTGCCGCGGCTCGCGTCGAGCTTCGAGGTTGTTTGCCGCTTGGGACGGGGTGGGTGATCCACTAACGATGACGTCATGCGCAGGCCTTGACTTCTAGGTGGCTTTGGCAGTCTCACCCTGTCCCTCACTGTGCGCCGAAAAGCTGAGGGAGAGGAGGAGACGAGAGCTCTGATTCGAACGAATAGTGGGTGGACCTAAGGCTAGAACTGCCTTTGTCTCCACTGCAGTCGACGAACGCAGAACGTCGGCGTCCGGCGTTTGGCTTTCGCATTCGAATGCGTACGACCAGTGCATTGGAGACAAAGGCAGCTATAGCCTTAGGTCTACCCACTATTCGTTCGAATCAGAGCTCGGCGTTCTGACGTCAGCGCGCGCTATCGTCTCTTCCTCTCCCAGCGGGTCTTGACCGCGTCTTTACTGGACTTCAGTCACTGGCACTTTGAAACAATAATTAAAATCCGATAGGTAAGAAAAGCTTCCGTGATGTAATGACCAATAAAAAATAATGTCTGAACTAATGGTACCTATATTTGTTCCTGGTTTCCGGCATGCCTATGAAGTAGCCCCTACTTAGTTTTAGCCTGACAGGGGCAGTGATAAACAGTGGATTGTATCTGCATTCCAAGTGTAAGACTCATTGTGAGCTTGCGCCCTCCAGCCAACCCATGCACAGTGCTTCCGCACTCAAATTTTGGAGTGCCTATTTTCGGCCGCGTTATCGATCCCCTGATTTTCGAGGTCAAAACATCTACGTCTCGGAAACTAATCTCAAACCACGAGACAACTCTTCACGTTCAGATATTGGTGGCTGAGAAAAGCAGAGTGTTGTCTCTTGGCTGAACGTTTCATCCCCCCAGAAGCTCCGACCAAAACGCGGTGCTCCGCTGTTCTGTTTCTCTTTCTTGAAATCAAACATTTGCGCTTGCTATGAAGGTTTAAGCGTAAAAATATCATTATCAGCGCGTTGCGGTTGGAACAATTCTTGAAGCATTGCCTCACGTCGGTTGGTCATTCTTTTTCGTAAGTAAATAAATTCAAAACGAGGTTTTAGTTTAGCTAAAACTATTTCCTTGGTCATTAATCTGATCAGGTAATAGAAGATGACCTTAATATAACCAATATCTACAGGGTACGGCATTATGATCTGAACGAGTGGCGTCCAGAC